GCAGTTATACATTAATGTAGCCATGAAATTGCCGTATGTATACCTGGCGGCAACCGTCCATATTTTACTAGGACGTATATTTTTGATATGAATTATATACTTTTTTATTTTTTAAATAGTAAACCAGTGTTATGAAAGGCCGGCTCTTATTCACGGTGCGGTGTCGGTGCCGGTGCCGGCGGTCACGGCGTGATGACGGTGCCGGTACGGGGTACCCCACTCGTTTGTGATTTAACACAGATTCTATACCTTCAAATTTCTGCATAATTTTTCGAACAAAACTTTTATATGGAGCTGCATCACGTCAAATTTTGCGCAATGCACGTTCTGTGCTCATTGAACTCGAATGTTTTTGGTGATTCGTCTTTACGACCAATACCCGTTGTTTGGTAGACGACTGTTCCAAAGTAAAAAAATCATTAAAAATTAAAACGAACGAAAAAAATGTGGAAATGATAATTGATTATGAAAATTAAAAAATCGGTAATACCAACAATCATCAGAGAAATTCTGGCAATTTTATATTCGTGCCGATTTAAAAAAAATACTGTATTACACGAAACGGATAATTTTTTGCTACGGCAAAATAGTTCCAGAAAGATAGAACCAGAGAGAAATTTATGCAAGAGGGAGAGACAGAGGTAGAGACAGAGAGAGAATGTGAGATCAATTGTGAGAATGATAGACGATGAGTTTACGGAATACAACGTGCAAAATAGACTACGGCCACGGAGTAAGAATGTTTCTATTGTTTACTCAAAATATTTATTTGAGCACAAAGTAGGCATTATATATTTTCTTTAATTATATTTGTTTAAAATTGTATAGATTTTCCCGTTTTCCTGCGTTATTCCCGGTTTTCCCATGTTTTTACCCGGATTAGCAAAATTGCTATGAAATATCTTGGTAAAATCGAAACATGACCTCCCTAATGTACCATCCCAGTAAAATTAACTTTTAGAAAATGGGCTATAATTGTAAATAGGAGCAAAATTTAAGGTAGAAGAGTTGTATGAAGAAAAATCTACATTTCGTACATTCTCTGTTTTTCCGACATTTTATGCCGGTTTTTCACAATTATTATGAAAAACGATTGAGGAATCGCAGAACTGTACACAGATTATTAAATCAGCACACCTTAAACGATTTTTATCACTGAAAGAGTGATAAAATAAATTGACCAAAAATAAATTTATCTTTCTAGAGGAAATATTTAAGATACGATAATGTACATAGTTGACAATCAATTTATTGCTTTATGAAAAATTAATTAATCATATTATTTTGAGACACGGTGCTACGATATAACATCATGCACTTGTTTATCCATTTAAATTTGAATAAATATTTTAAAATAAATACAATAGTATAATAAGTTAAGTACCAATAATTAAAACAATATTAATAACAATTATAATTAATGCGTTTATTGAATGTTACATGTAACCCAATTGTATAATAATTATAAAGTTTTTAAATGAACAAATAATAATTATGACCATAATATTATTACATTATGGCTGTAGATTTATTATCAATTTTTTTTGTTATGTGGTATAGTCGTTTGAAAGAAAACTTTTGCTTATGTCTTTATGAGTTCTGCAATATGCATACTACTAAACGGTAAGCTTAATCCATGTTTAATATCTGATCCTAAATAAAAATAAAATTCAGTTACATTAGTATATTTTCGATAGTAAAATTATTTTCTAAAATACATTTTCAAATATATCAAAAAAATAAATTGGGTAGATCGATACATTCGTTTTGTTTCTTGATTCGTTGATCTTCCTTGTTTATTGTTTTATTAGTGACATTTATTATTATAAAAACTACATATATTAATATATTACCTATAGTAAATATTAACAGCGAACGCTGAAACAAAATTTTTACATTTGATTAGTTTTGTAAAACTGAAATTTTTTGATATGGCTAAATATTCAATCATATCAACAAGATATCCACTATCATTAGGCATTCGACCCGGATGATGATGTTATTCTGCCGTATTTATTTTTACAACGTTTCAATTTTGTTTATACTAAATTATGCTCACAGAATGTTTTTCGTTAAATCTTTAAACTATAATTTACTCTGAATGACTTCATCTCCGGTCACACTTTTATCTGTTGATATGTCTGGACGGTTAGTTTTGATAGAAATTCGTACTATTTATAGTCCCATATGGCACTTTACATTGGAGCATAGTGCTTAAAACAGGTAATATTTAGACAAATTACAAGTACTTAATTTCCATAAAAAGCCGTTTCACTAAGGTGCGTCGTATATTTTATGGTACCACTTTAAACCGTTCATAGAAAAATGAAGGATTTGGCTGAGGTTAATAAAACGAGCTTAATCGGTTTTGTAAAGTTATCGGTTACGGTTTGGAAGTTAATTTTTTAATATTTGTAAAATTCAGTCTCAGTCCCGGGTATAAACAAAGGTAGTTTACAAATATCAAATTAATATATAATAATTAATTTTTAGTGTTGAAAATACATTTCTAATCTACATACCTATGAAGGAAGTTTAAAATATATCGATGGTTTCTTTAGGTCTGAAAAAATTATTTAATGTCTTAATTCTTTAATGCAAATCGTAAATTCTGTCATTGTAATTCATTTACATGAAACCATGATACTTCTGTAGGCATTTAAACTATAAAGTGGATTTGTTTTTAACCAACTAAAGATAAATGTTGAATTAGCAAGATTCTTGTTATAGAATACAACACACTTCCCCTAGTGTGAGGTAAACTTCCAAATTTATTTTAGAAACAAATGATTTAAAATAATACTAGGACTCAAATTTTTGCTCACCCAGAACAGACATTTTCTGGCTACTTTCCTTTCCTAATACGTACCCATTTGTTCACTTACACGACAATTAGATGTACAATTCCTAATAGTTGTATTCTGATCCCGACAACAGTAGGGATTAAAATTAATATTTATTTATTATATTCATTAAAACATTTTGCATTATTAAACGGTTTAAAACATATTGTATAAACAATATCCTGACTTTCTGAAATGTATGTAATACAGATCATTAAATTAAATTCTATCTTAAATTTAATTCGTTAAATACTTACTGCGAAGAAGAGTTTTTAAAACATACATTATATACATTCTGCATCCAGCTATAGCAATTATAAAATATATTTTGGATTCGACATACAAATATATATTATTTGAACACAACGTTAAGGTACGTAGCTAATATAACTAGA